AAGGAAGGGTATTTTTACCAGATGTTTGAACATCTGGACCATTTGGTCAAGTGTTCTGGTCCTGGCCAGGGCTCTGTTAATTTGTATGATACTGAGAGGAGTTATTCCCCTTTGCCATTTACTTTTGATAATTAATCACTGTAAATAATGTACTTGAAAGGTTAATAGAATAAGAGAATTATGCAAGAATTTTTATTGTATAATACAAAAATTACTTTCATAGTTTTAATGATCAGGTAGACTTGTAAGTAATAGATAAATAAAAATGAGACAAAAATAACTTGTCTTATTAAATGTTTATCAAAGACCAAGAGAGGCCAATGTAAGAGATTTCAAAAAGGAATCATAATAATACAGAAGCACTGATAGTTTGTTAATTTACTGTATGGTGATAGTGATAAATGGGGAACAGACTAGAACCTAATTTATGAACTGTTAATGAATACTAAATGAATTATTTTGGTGATCCTGATCACCCTAATTTCTTGCTTTTGGGCAACAAAGCTTCACCTTTCAGTTCATTTTATACTCTATGATCCTCTAAATTGTTGTATTATACTCAGGTGACCGTTAAGGCCCTTGGGCCTCTTGTTAATTTTGATGAATGATTTTGCCATGGTTACTAAAAATAGAAATTTCTGTGAAATACTTTCAGAAACTACTCCTCCTACAGTTTTTGTTTGATTTCAATATAACTTGGCACACAAGTAGACTACATTAAGATACGTAATTCTATTTATTGCTGCATGTTGCAAAATTTCAAATCGAAGTGCTACTTTTCCTTTGTTATACATACAGACCAGTAGAGCTACAGTCTCATCAGAGACTTCTGGTTTGAATTCTTATATTCCTATTAATATGGATCCCTTCTTCCTAATTCTTGCAAGTTTTTCAGCTACTTCTAGCTCTTAAGACCGCGGAACATTAACTGGCAAAATTGGAAATATGCAGCTTACGTCATTTCCATCTGTTACAGTGAAAAGATTTAATGATAGACAATGAAATGGGTGGGTACAATTCGACACGGACGTCCGAGAAAACACTGGATTGAAATTCTAGTTTGAAGTTCATTTTCAATCCACCTGAGCTGTTTTCAAACCTAAAGTGTGAATGTACATGTATGATCCAAAAGACAAATGATTTCAATTCCCAAATACATGTTGTTTGAAATTCGTATTTATATGAGTTTTTTTGCCTATAATTTTAAGGACACGTAAAAGTATAGAAGGCAGTGATTATTTTTTCAGGGGACGGCCATTTGATTCTAGAAAGGGGGGGGTCAAAAATTGTGAAGTCAGATCATGCCTTCACATGACAGAATATACATGTATTCTAGGATGACAAGAGTCTTTTTTTTAGTTTTGTCTTCACAGACAAATGTTTAACAAACAAAAACAGGGAGAGATTGTTCAAACTAAAAGAAAAATGACTTTCTTATTTATTTCCAAGATCGTTCAGCCCCCCCCCCCCCCCCCCCCCAGCACACACATACACATACCAAACAGAAATCAAATATTTGTCCCATTATATTCCTTTAAAAACACTGGACAGAAAATTCTGATTTATATAAATTTCAAACTATCTCCGAAATTGAAATTATTTGTCTTAGAGTAGCTGAGGTGGATTGAAAATGAATTTCAAACTGGAATTTCAATCCAATGTTTTCTAGGACGTCCGTGTCCAATTGTACCCGCCCATTTCATTGTCTATCATTAAGCCTTTTCACTGTAACAGATGGAAATGACGTAAGTTGCATATTCCCAATTTTGCCAGTTAATGTTCCGCGGTCTTATGGGAATGAGAAATAGTTACATGTGGTCAATGTTGAAAGGCCTATAAAATAACACATATATATGAATATTTACAATGTAAAAACTATACAAATATATGCATAATGCATTGGATTGGGGGTGGGAGGTCCAAATGTTTTCTTGGGTCATTTGTATAAATTTTTTGACAATCACAATTTTATAAGTATTAAATACATTTTCTATTTATTGAGTTTTGTATCAAATATAGAGTATACACAGTTTGATTTTTTTTTCTATTGATTGGGTATAATCTACATGTACTTAACTTCCTAGATCCTCAACAGGATTGTCTTTAAATTTCTAGAATAGGGAATGCGGGAAAGAAGCTGGGGGTTGGAGTAAACCCCCCCCCCATTTTTGTTGAGCCGGAAATTTTTTTAGAAAAAAGTAACCTTTTGGGGGATTCTGGTGTCACCATGTGAAATGAACAGATTTTTGAGTGACAATAATTTTTATTGATAGTACTAATTATAATTCAATAGATTGTGACCGCAGGAAATTTGATGCCACCTGTACCCAGGATTTTTTTTAAGAAGCCTGCATTCTGCCCCATTTTAGTTCTTCTCTTTACTTCAATTGTTATATAATACATAGTGTAAATAGCTTGTGCTGTCATTGCAAGACATCACATATCATGTCTCATTTCATACCATGCTAATAAGCATTGGTATCTAATGCTAGACTTTTTCCTTTATTGGGTACAAATGTCAACTTTTTTAGCTCACCTGAGCCAAAGGCTCAAGTGAGCTTTTCTGATCAAAATTTGTCCGTTGTCTGTCGTCGGCGTTGGCGTCGTCGGCGTCGTTGTTGTCGTAAACTTTTTACATTTTCATCTTCTTCTCCAGAACTACTGGGCCAATTTCAATCAAACTTGGCACAAAGTATCCTTGGGTAAAGGGGATTCAAGTTTGTTCAAATGAAGGGCCACTCCCTCCTCAAAGGGGAGATAATTACGAAATAGCAAAAAATTAATGGCATTATTGAAAAATCTTCTTCTCAAGAACCAATGGGCCAGGAAAGATGAAACTCATGTGGAATTATTGTCAGGTAGTGTAGATTCAAGTTTGTTCAAATCATGACCCCCGGGGGTAGGGTGGGGCCACAATGGACGATCAAAGTTTTACATAGGAATATATAGGAAAAATCTTCAAAAATCTTTTTCTCAAGAACAGCAAAGCTATGATTGGTCATATTTATATGAAAGCATCCTCATGTGGTGTAGATTCAAGTTTGTTCAAATCATGACCCCCGGGGGTAGGGTGGGGCCACAATGGACGATCAAAGTTTTACATTGGAATATATAGGAAAAAATCTTCAAAAATCTTCTTCTCAAGAACAGCAAAGCTATGATTGGTCATATTTATATGGAAGCATCCTCAGGTGGTGTAGATTCAAGTTTGTTCAAATCATAACCCCCGGGGGTAGGGTGGGGCCTCAATGGACGATCAAAGTTTTACATAGGAATATATAGGAAAAATCTTCTTCTCAAGAACAGCAAAACTATGTTTGGTCATATTTATATGGAAGCATCCTCAGGTGGTGTAGATTCAAATTTTTTCAAATCATGACCCCCGGGGGTAGGGTGGGGTCTCAATGGACGATCAAAGTTTTACATAGGAATACAGTATATAGGAAAAATCTTCAAAAATCTTCTTCTCAAGAATAGCAAAGCAATGATTGGTAATATTTATTTGGAAGCATCCTCAGGTGGTGTGGATTCAAGTTTGTTCAAATCATGAACATCGGGGAGTAGGTTGGGGCCACAATGGATGACAATTAAAGTTTAACATAGGAGAATATAGGAAAAATCTTCAAAAATCTTCTTCTCAAGAACAGCAAAGCCATGATTGGTCAAATTTATATGGAAGCATCTGCAGGTGGTGTAGATTCAAATTTGTTCCAATTGTGACCTCTGGGGGTAGGGTGGGACCACAATGGACAATCAAAGTTTTCATGGAGTATATAGGAAAAATCTTCAAAAATCTTCTTCTCAAGAACAGCAAAGCTATGATTTGTCATATTTATTTGGAAGCATCCTGAGGTGGTATTGATTCAAGTTTATTCAAGTCATGACCCCCAGGGGTAGGGTGGGGCCACAATGGACGATCAAAGTTTTACATAGGAATATATAGGAAAAATCTTCTTCTCAAGAACAGCAAAGCAATGATTGGTCATATTTATATTGGAAGCATCCTCAGGTGGTGTAGATTCAAGTTTGTTCAAATCATGACCCCCAGGGTAAGGGTGTTGCCACAATGGACGATCAAAGTTTAGCATAGGTGTACATAGGAAAAATCTTCAAAAATCTTCTTCTCAAGAACAGCAAAGCTTTGATTGGATATATTTTTTTGAAAGCATCCTCAGGTAGTGTAGATTCAAGTTTGTTCAAATCATGACCCCTGGCGGTAGGGTGGGGCCACAATGAACGTTCAAAGTTTTACATAGGAATATATAAGAAAAACCTTTAAAAATCTCAAGAACAGCAAAGCCACGGTTTGTAATATTTATATGGAAGCATCCTCAGATAGTGAAGATTTAAATTTGTTCAAATCATGACCTCCAGGGATAGGGTGGGGCCACAATGAAAGTTCAAACTTGTAGAGAAAAAAAGTCACAGTTAGTCAAAAAATTATGTAAGCAGTGTAGATTTAATTTTGGTTGATTTAATTAAGTCATACCCCCCCCCCCCCCCCTCCCTTTTAGGGGTAGGTTGGGACCATTTATGCATTTAAGCTTTTCAATACTAAACTGATTTTTCCTTTTTTCCTAACCACAGTGCTCAGGTGAGCGATGTGGCCCCTGGGCCTCTTGTTCAAGACTGTTTCCAAGACTTCAAAGAACCTAGAATCATATTAATATGAATAAAATGAAAATTATTGCACAAAAAGATCTCAATTTCAACCTTCATTTGGAGACTTTTTAAATAAAATCATAAATTTAAGAGTTATCCTTCCTGCCTGAGGATCGGATATCCTTAAAAGCATATATATATAATTTAATAGTGATACATGTATAAGATTTTAGAATGACATACAAGAGATTGGGACTGTGTAGATCTTAAATATGTGTATTGCAAGATAAAATTTGGATGAGTTTCTAAATCACAAAACAAAGCTATTAATATGTTATTTTTGTCCATACATGTTGAGTTATTAAAATATAGAACTTATAAAAGTCAACCTTTTGTAGGCTTCTGTAGATGGATGAGAAGGATGTCTGTAGAAGTTGGAGCTTTAGAACATTCCAAGTCCAGAAGAAAGAGAAAGTTCTGCACACCAGCAAGGCGAGTAGAGCTGAGCGACCAAGACACAGATTCAGATGAAGGTGATGTAGAGTCCTATACCTACATCTTGGATGACGATGAGCAGGAGACTTCGCAAGACCGCTTCCAAAACTCTCCAACTCAGACGATAGAAAGTTCATCAGATGGATACACTAATGGCTCTACAGATCTTGATAAAGATGTAATGCCATCAGAAAATAATAATGTAGAAACTTTCAAAGTTATCTCACAGGATGCCTTTCCCATTTCAAACAATGGCTATATTGTTCCAACAGATGGGACTTTGCCCCCAGGCATGCATTTGGTTTTTGTTCCAGACAGCGCCAAAGAGGAGTTCATCAAGAAATCCTCGCTGTGTTTCGATAGATATGACCGAGGCTTGGCTGATAATTCCAAACCATTTATCGTACAGCCAGTCAGTGGAGTTAATGGTTTTGTGATGACTAAGTCGAATCCTATGAACAAAGTACCTCTTGATGGTTTAGGTGCTGAAAATACTGGTAAACTAGACATTCATGTAGATAAAGGAGATAATGCCTACATCACAATAAATCCAGAATACTATGACAATCAGGGCAGCCTTGATGCCGACATTGCGGAAGCTCTGACAGGGATAGGCAACACCAACAATGAGGATGATGAAAGTAATGTCCAAAACAGTTCTAAAAATGAGGCCAACAAGATAAAAACTTTAATCAAAAGACACTGTAAATTTGAGTGCAATCGATGCGATAAGAGATATAAACGACAGTTTGACCTCAATGCTCATATGCGAACACATGATGGGCAAGAACCATTTTCATGCTCACAGTGTGGAGAGAAATTCAATTATCTTCACCTTTACAGAAAACATGTGAATCAGCATAATTCAGAAGACAAAGGAACTGAATGTAAAGAGTGCGGTCTTAAGATTCGTTTCAAGAGCCATGTCAAAGTTCACATGAGAACCCACACAGGTGAGAAGCCCTACAAATGTGGAGTCTGTGGACGAGCTTTTGCACAGAGCTGTATACTGACAACTCACATGAGAACCCACACAGGTAAGGCTGATTTACTGTGTAAGCAGAATTTTCAGCGAGGATTCAATTTTGGCATTATTAACCATAGTTTTGAGATGGCTTAAATTGAATATCGCTAACAATTTATTTCATATTGGTTGCTATAGTTATCTCTTGACATTATAAAATTGCTGAAATTACTTCTCGCTAAAAATATGTACCAATAGTTGGGGATAAATCCCTAAATTTGCGTCTTGTTAAAATTTCCAATTATACGGTATTTAAAAGGGCTTCTAACATGAGAACTCACATAAAAACTAAGGCTAAGTTAATAACAAATTCCCACATGAGATCTCACACAGAATATAAAAACAGGTTGTCAAATAAAGGGGCACAATTAGACCCATGGGAATTCAAACAGATTGTTGGAAGTCCTGGTCTCCAAAGACTATATTTAGCAGGAATGTCAATGAGTATTCCAGTACTCAACTATTGCTCGGTCATACTGACTATTGACTAATGAGTCACTCAGTTGACATATTGCTATCTGTTTTTGTCAGACATTCATATACTCATGAATATTTTCAGCTTCTTCTCATAAACCACTGAACCAATTTTGACAAGTAGCATATATGGGTACAGCCAAACATATATTATGAATTTAATTTTATGGTTCCTGACACCTGGGGCATGAGGGATGGAGCTAAAACCTCAAAATTAATGCAGTCTTTAAACATGTTCTTCTTTACTACTGGACATCAAGCAATTAAACTGTTGGCTTGACAGTAATAAGCATTGAGCCCTCTACCAAAATTTTGAAATTCTTGACCCCAGGGTCAGCGTGTCTGGAGTTAAGCTGGGGCTCTATTGATCATATAGTGAAAATGCATAAATTCTTTAAAAAGCTTCTCATCTTGCCCTGTATATTTAGCAGACAAATTAAGTGCATGGTTATAAAAAGCAAGGGTGCCCCTTCCAAAATTGTAAAATTCATGGCCCCTGGTTGGGTTCTGGTGTTAGGTTGGGGTTCTTTTGTTTATGTAGTGTATAATTAACATTTATTGCAAGGGTTTTTTTTTTCTAATGTTTTGATAAGTACACTTAAACTGTAATCAGTCACTGATCAGTAATTTAGCTGTAATTAGACAGTCACATATAAATGGACTCATGATATAACAATTACATGTATAAGCATTAGAGAAAAATGATGGTTGTGGAAATGACAAGCCACAGTTTTTGAAAAAGTGTATTTAGATAATATATGTGGTAAAAAAAATCCATTCAGATGCTTGTAGTACTGGTATTTCTACTAAATAAATATTTGTCATTGATCTTGATGTTGTATTTGATAGTACCTTAATATAAATATTGAGTGTACATGTACAAGCAGTCTGAAAAGGACATGAAGATATAAAACTGACATGAGAAAAATTATTTTAACAAATACTCAATAAAACCCTATATTATTCAACTAGGCTGAGTGAAATTGACATGCCTGCTGCATAGATATTGTCAATCAGAAATTCCAACTTTTTAATATCTACTTCAGAATACAGAGCAAATAATAAGCCTTTGTCAAAATAATATTCTGGATGACTAAACACATGATGTAATAATAAAAAAAAAATTGTACAACTTAATAAATTTCCTTTGTTTCATATATTTATTAAAATTTTTGTGTAACTTACTTTGACTTCTCTTTATCAGGTGAAAAGCCATATAGGTGTGATGAGTGTGGTAAAGGGTTTGGACAGGCAAGTACGCTCAAGATTCACAAGCGAACACACTCTGGAGATCGTCCTTACAAATGCACCATGTGTGACAAAGCATTCAACCAAAGCGGCCACCTAAATCTACATATCAGGACTCACACAGGTCACAAACCATTCAAGTGTGAAGTCTGTGGCAACATGTTCAATCAACGCTGTCATTTGCGTCTGCACATGAAGCGCCACACTGGCGAGCGTCCATTTAAGTGTGATAAGTGTGACAAAGAATTCCTCCAGAACTGTGAACTTGTCAATCATATGCTTTCCCATTATGGAGAAAAGCGTGCCTATAAATGCCAGGTTTGTGACATGATATTTGCGCAGAAAGAGCAATTTACTGTTCACTTAAAATGCCATGATCCTAAGACTCTTGGAGATGTTAAACCCTATGGATGTAATGTATGTGGCAATGCTTATTCCCACCAAGCTGATCTTTTCCTCCACATGAAAAATCACCAAGACACATCTAAAGCCTTTGAGTGTAATATTTGTGGCTGTGCTTATGCTCAGCAGAATGATCTTAGAATGCATATGAAAAACCACAAAAATGAAAAATCATTTGAATGTATCACATGTAGCAAAGTTTACACTCAAGAATCTGATCTGAAGCAACACATGAAAATTCACCTGGATTGTGAAGTCAAATCTGAATCTGTACTCGAATGAGTTTATTATGATCAGCATTTTCGATTAAGGTACAAAAATGAATGGCTATTTCTGTGTCACCTGAAGCAGAGTACACTTAGGGATCACTTAGCAAACTGAGGGATTGTTAAATTAAACCTTACATTAATAAATTAAGAATAAATATTTCTAATGATTTTAGTTTTTTTAATTTACGAAAAATAACATTCTATTCTATCGCAGTCTTAATATCCAGGGGTTTTTTTGTCTGACAAATGCATGAATTATTAGTATGGAAAGAAGTAGCTTGACCAAATAAATTTTTATTGCTGCTATAGCAGGTGACACATGCACTCCTTGGACACAAGTTTAATACATATTTAATGTTATAATAAATTAATTTTTTGAAAAAAAAAAAGGGGGGGGGGGAATAGAATAGAGCAGTTCTGACTTCTTAAAAAATTTGTGAATTGTTTCTTTAATGTGACACAAAATTTAGGGTTGTGATACGCTTTTCAGGATTTTATTGTTGATGGAAGTGATGTGATTTATTTGTGTTTCCCACATAACAGATAAGAAACTTAGTCTCTGGAACTATATTGTGATCTGACATAATATTCTCCTTCAAACATGAAGATATCATATCACTTTACTTCTTGATTCATCATGAAAATAGCCAGTGCAATGAAACACAGCATTGCAATTGACAAAATAAGATTTTTAGAATTTCATCTCCATTCAGATTTTCAAAAGGTTGGGAAGGAATCATGAAAATTGACTATCTTGAGGTTTTTGAACAAAGTTAAGTACACGAGTTCCTTTAGCAAGAATCTTTTTTGGTTATGATGCATGTCTTGAGTTTTATGTCTTATACATGTATTTTTAATTCCATTATTGTCACATTCATAATGAACAAACATATCAAAAACCTTCTCTTTTTTTTGATGAACAGAACATTATTTTTTTATGGTTAATGTGCATTTTTCTAACCTGTGTTTATTAGATTTAGTAATCATTATGTGTGTATATTTTTAACAAGTAACAATCTACTGATTTTAATCTATGCTCTTACATTTTATCTATCTATGCATATAGATTCTGTCTTCAGATGATAGTTTTAATTTGTTTATCTGAGCAATATTGTGTGTAGCTCTTGTAGAAGACTTGTTAAAATTCTCTGAAACCTTATTTTCCTCAAACTGTTGTTAAATATCCTTGTGGCTAATTGCTCTGTGTTTGCACATTTGTGATCAAAGACAAATTGCAAAATAAAAAGAAATATTTGATAACTATTAGAAAGATATGGATGGAGATGTTTATAATTTAGTGTTTTGTTTTGTTTGTTTTTTTTTTAAGTTGTTAAAAAAAAAGAAGAAAGAAATGAAGCATGGGAAAAAATTCCATCATTTTAATACTGGTACATGTAAATTTTTTCTTCCTTCTGTGTCAATTTTGGTCAATTTTATGATGAAGTTGAAATGTTTAGTACAAATTTGTTACATTGCTGCGATGATTTTGCTCACCTGAAGGCCTACATTCCATATTTTTAGTGATATCTTGTATAATTAATTGTATGTTGAGTTATGGTGTACATAATTGTATTTTGCCCTTACATTTCAGATAATTTAAGGTTGTGTGTGCGTTTTTTCCCTCAATGAAGAAGCATTCAATTTATGCAAGGTTCTGTCTTGTTTTTAATTGTTAGTATTGCAAATGTATATTTTTGTAACTTGTATATTAGAATTTACATTCCAATATTTTTTATATAACATTTCTATATTATAATAAATTAGAATGTATTCAGGTAGTTATTTTCTTACTTTTGTTTTTTTTTATACCCCCCCTCCCCCCCCCCCCCCCCCCCAAAAAAAAGAAAAACAAAGTTTGAAAGTTTGGGGGCATCCATCTGTCTAGCTGTCTGTCTGTCTGCGCAAACGTGTCTGGTCCATATCTTTCCAGTGGAGGAACATTAAAATCTACTACTTCACTTAAAGATTGTTCATAACCTGAAGGTGTGTCATGACCTTGACCCAAGGTCATTTGGGCAAGTCCAAGGTCACTGAAAGAAAAAATTCATAATTTGTGTCCAGTCCATATCTTTCTTATGGATGAACTTGGTGAGTTCCCATTTTACACAAAGATTGCTTATGACCTGAGAGTGTATCATGACCTTGACCCAAGGTCATTTGGGCAAGTTCAAGATCACTGAAAGAAATAGTTCATGATTTGTGTCTGGTCCATATCTTTCTTATGGATAAACTTGGTGAGTCCCCATTTTTACAAAGATTTTACACAAAGATTGTACATGACCTGAGGGTGTGTCATGACCTTGACCCAAGGTCATTTGGGCAAGTTCAAGGTCACTGACAGAAAAAGTTCATTATTTGTGTGCAGTCTGTATTGTTCTTATGGAGAATAATGTTGGGAGTTTCCCTTTCACACAAAGATTGCTTATGGCCTGAGTTTGTGTCATGATCTTGACCTATAGTCACTGTAGAATAAATGGATAAATATTGCATCCATACTTCTAAGAGTCACATACATGTACTTGAAAAATCGTTATTTATTTTTTCAATGTAATAAAAAAACAATGTTATTATTAGTATTGATGTTTTATTAGGCTGCACCTTAGTTTCATTTGTTAAAAGATATAATGAGCAATTACCGGTAAATTTTCACTCTAAATGTTTAAACAAATTGTGAACACCTCTTAGATCCATCAAATACTAGCATTATTGACTTGGCACTTCTCTCTCTATTTGTCCATTTTGGACAGTTCTAGATTTTTTGAGAGAGAGAAATTGACGTCTTTATCGTGTTTACCTGCCTTTGTTGAGGCTAACTTTTTATCCTGTATCAAAGAAAGAATGTTTTTAAGAAAAAGACTTGCCATTTTTGAGGTGAGGTAATTGTTTTATTTATCCCCATATGCAAAAGCTGGTGATAAGTTTTGGTTGAATTTGTCACATGCCTACTTCTGTGCACCACAGAAAAAAATAAGAAGAAAACGCTTAAAACACTTGCTGTGGCCTTCAACTAGACATTCAGATATACCAACAAATTTCATCAATTAACAATAGTTACTTCCAATCATATGTCAACTTGATTTTATCTCAGTGAACTTGAAATAAAAGACACCACAGAGTCTGCCACATCTGTTTTATAATTGGATGTATTACTGACTTGAGCTTATGCTTTTATACTAAATTTGACTACGGATTATTCCGTCTACCTGATAAATATAGGGTTCACGGTGGATGTGACCGGTCGACAGGGGATATTTACTTCTCTTAGACACCTGATCCCACCTCTGGAATTTCCAGAGGCCCCCATTTTATGCCCTGTACACATATTTGTATTTTTGTAGGTTTTATGGGATTGATTACTGTTATCTTCACTTATTTAATTTGTACAAAATGACTCGTATAGCCATATTTTAAGGTTATATCTTTAACAAATCAAAACACAATATCAGGAAGATTTTCCCCTTTTCTATATGACAAGTACCCTATTCGTCAATGCAATGCTAAAAATATCATGTGTCGCATCTCTAATAAAAATTTTCACTTTTCAAGTTCGCCCAGATTCCTGCCGATTCCAAATAAAAAAAACCCTCGCTCTTTAAAAGATCGATTTCAACTTAAAACTTGATATCTTTTAACAGTCTGAGTTTTCACATGAACATAACATTTTAAAACTTTTTTTTTTTTTAATGTTGCTTCACTCGTTTACAAATTTGAGGACGAAATATTCTCTTGCGTAAGGATTGCGTAAGTGTTAATTGCATGGAATAATGAAAGGTTTTTTTCCTATATAAAAAGAAAAAAATACCTCTTCTTGGAAAAAAATGCATGATTCATGACTGTATCATATGAAATTATCATGTCACAGAAAATGAATTAACTTCCGTAATGATTTTATTTGAAATTGTTCACAAGCCATGCAAATCTGACTATGAACCGAAACTAAAAGTGACTGTGGGACCAATAGATTGATTCTAGTTGAAGAACCATTACTTTTTTCTGACATAACGAAATAAATAAGACAAAAATTGTTGTCTCTCTTAAGAATTTAACTTCCATAACGGTAATCCAGAATTTTAATTTTTTTATTATATTTATTATTTATTTATTTATTTTATTTATTAGGGAAGTTAATGCTTAAACAAGACTTAGGGACCAATAGATTGATTCTAGTTGAAGAACCATTACTTTTTTCTGACATAACGAAATAAATAAGACAAAAATTGTTGTCTCTCTTAAGAATTTAACTTCCATAACGGTAATCCAGGATTTTATTTTTTTTTTATTATATTTATTATTTATTTATCTATTTATTTTATTTATTAGGGAAGTTAATGCTTAAACAAGACTTAGGGACCAATAGATTGATTCTAGTTGAAGAACCATTACTTTTTTCTGACATAACGAAATAAATAAGACAAAAATTGTTGTCTATTAAGAATTTAACTTCCATAACGGTAATCCAGGTTTTTGATTTTTTTATTTTATTTATTATTTATTTATTTTTTAATTTATTTATTTATTGCATTTCAGGTGTAAAAGGTTGTATTATTTTGGCATTTGACTAACATTTCATATATCTATAGCCGAGAATTATAACTGTTATTGTTGAAAATTAATTTCCATAACGATTAACTTCTGTAACTGTGTTTTACCGTTCTTATTGCTCAACACCAGAAAGCGTTAATAGGTCATTTTTATTTATATATCATTTATAATGAATCTTGTTTAAGCATAAACTTCCGTAACACTGCTTTTTGACCGCAGGTGTATCAAATTGTTGGAAAATATTTGTGGATATTTTTTTTCGAGGTGCACTGTTATGTCCTTTAGCGAATGAAAATTCAATTTGCTGTTTAAAGAAACTATTTATATACATTGTACCCTGAATTGGTCTTTTCGTCGTAGATTGACTGACATGTTGTTGCAGTGTAGAATTTATTGTGTTGGTACATTAAAGTTTTGAAATTTAAAAAAAAATTAAAAACTATCCATATAAACAATCAGTAGCCACAGAGCTGATCCCCAAAGTTTCACCGAAGATGTAAAGACCAGTATGAAAGTGCTATATACAAAATACATATATTTTACTCTGTATGTGTCAGATAATCAATTTGCTCTCGGAAATGAAAATGAAAATTTTCTTGAGGTACTAATCAGAATCTTTATTTTCCCATTTTGTCTTCGGATTAACATTTGTTCGTAAACTGCATAGAAAAGCAGACAAAAAGTACATGGTATCAAGTACACAGTGTATTGTGCAGGTATTTCGATCGTATTCAAAGGTTCTGTTTAGCTTTTGACGCTTGTAATACTGATCTGATACGCCATCTAATAGGGATGGGTATCGCCAAAAATTTTTGTAAAGTGATATATCACGATTTTTTCCCAAAATATCGCGATAAAATCGGGATATTCTTACCAGGAATTTTTACTTCATTTTTAATGAATTTCCATAATTTTTCTTACAAATACACTCATCTGCAAAAATATAATTTTACTTTTTTCCATTTTTATTTTATGTAATATAAAGCATGTTTGGATGCCGTAGTTTAACTTTTTTCAACATTTTTTTTTTTATACTTTCTGTAATTTCTATTTAATAGTTCGAACAAATAAGCACGATAAATTAGTAAGTTCTGGAATTAATAATTATGTACCAAATACCGGTATTTTAGTCTCCGTATCGCGATACGTATCACGCAATAAAAGATCACGATATACCGGTATACCGATAAAATCGCGCATCCCTACCATCTAAATTGTTCAGCGCCATTTCTTCTTCCGACGTTTCTTCAAACTGCAATTGATGCTGTTTCATCTTGACCTTCATGGCTCACTAAACATTGACATATGTTGGGCTTGAGATGCTAAAACTTTGATCAAAATCTACAGAATTAGTAAAAGAAAAACAATACTATCTCTTCCTTCCCCTCTCTTTCTCATTGACTTATTAAACTACTTTGCCAAAATTAAAACAGAAATTTAAGCTAGTTTAATTGGTTGACTATTTAGGATTTTATGCTGTGTCACTGACATGATACTTCACCAAGAACAATATCCTATCCGATAGTGCAAAAAATTAAAGTTTATTCACTATCTTGTTTTCATCCCAAGAGGACACAGCAAGAAGTCAAAACACGTCGAAACTTTCCTACAAACCTAGGCAACCCAATTATTACTTTTTTGGTCGGTTTTTCTGCAGAATTCTTTTCTTTTCTTGAGCAATTTAATTTGAGAAATAGCTCCATTTTATTTTTTTACTATAGTAGCAAATTCAGTTGTTTAAAGTATAGCATAAACAAGTTTTGGACAAGTAAATATTAATTTTCTATGGTGATGCGTTAGCAATTTTGTCTAGTGCCCTGCTGATTGCATACATACATGTATACTAAGACTCTGTCAATTAACGCTCTACACCCCCTACTCTTCTGCTAAGCGACAAACTATGACAACGTTGCAATTTTATCAACTTGGTGATTGCACCTTTATCTACGGTGGCTGGTATAGGACATGGTATGAGAATTTTTTTTATTAATTCGTGGCCACGAAATAAAAATTCGTGGCCACGAAATGAAAATTCGTGGGAACGAAATAAATTTCGTGGCCACGAAATAAAAATTCGTGGGAACGAAATAAATTTCGTGGCCACGAAATAAAAATCGTGGGAACGAAATAAATTTCGTGGCCACGAAATAAAATTCGTGGCCACGAAATAAAAATTCGTGGCCATGAAATAAAATTCGTGGCCACGAAATAAATTTGTGCTACATAATGCCATTTTTAGCTTCTTCTGTTTTATGTCATTCAAGATGAACGAACTTATATATAATTATCATTTAATTGGAATGAGCCAACGGGATATATGTGTAATGAGCAATGAGATTCGATGCTGTTACGTAGAACATGTTTCACATGAGAAGTTATACTCCTAACATGCTAAGATTTTGTGTCTTTATTTCATTACAACTATGTGACAGGATTCAATAGAAAATGTGAGAAAACAGCAAATAAGCCCTTAAAGTCATTAATGTTCGGGTTGCCTTGACTAATATCAGGAACAAAACTTGCCAGAGTTATTATAGTTAAGAAAAATACATAACTTGGCTAATATAAAATTGTCCCTGTGTATCATATCATCTAAAAAATCGTGATTTCATGCTGTGTCATGTAGCATGATGACAAGCTGAAGAGAACACTTTCATTTTGTTTTATCATTTGGTTAGGATGTCATTTTGGATGCAGTATCATTGAACTGCCTTAAACTCCAGAACAGTCAATTGAATCGGCTTGAATGTCTTGTTTTAATTTTGGGCACAGAGCAAAAGAGAGAGTTTATTATTATTATTATTTTTTTTTACATCTAGACTATGTTCATAATGCATGTACCAATTCTCAGCTGCTTCTAATATATATGCAAATTAAATATATGGGTATTTATAATGATGTTTATCAGTGCGGGCCAGTTACAATAATCTAACTGTGTCTGTGTGTCATGGGACAGACTCTCACTAGGTCCATAGCAAATTATCATTTTAACACTATATGTACATATAATTGTGAAATAAAAATTCGTGGCCACGAAATAAAAATTCGTTCCCACGAATTTTTATTTCGTGGCCACGAATTTTATTTCGTTCCCACGAATTTCATTTCGTGGCCACGAATTTTTATTTCGTTCCCACGAATTTTATTTCGTGGCCACGAATTTTATTTCGTTCCCACGAATTTTATTTCGTGGCCACGAATTTTTATTTCGTGGCCACGAATTAATAAAAAAAATTCTCATACCATGTCCTATAGCAGCCACCGTATTTATCTTTTGGGTGCGTGAACCATAAATTTGAATAATTAAAAGTCATATATAAGAATTAAGTTAACTACAATGTATTCTTTTCTCCCAGTGTTTCATACTTCAGGGTTCTTTCCACTAGTCGTTACGTTAAACTTTTACGTTTTTTTTTTGTTTGGTCATTTAACAAGAAAATGATAGAACACACAAAATACAATGATTCTACTAAACTTAGCTGTTCAAAAGGGATTAATGTAATGAATAAATACGAGATTACGAAGAGGTTTTGGCCTATTATTTATCTCACTCGTGTTCACCTAACATTTTGGACAAAAGTGTTGAGTTTTGATTTATACACAGCAGCATTCATAATGATGTTACATACATTAAGGCAATCGAAACTTCTCGGGCCTATCCGACAAGCGGAAAAACAACCCGAGATGATGCGATTGACATTAAGGTGATATGTGTGTATTGATGTTTATAGAATTTACAAGATACAGTAATTAGTAGAAATGTGCTCACACTGGTTTTAAAGCAAACTAGCATTTGGTTAATATACGATGTTAAACATCGGAATAATTCAACACTTTAATGGTTGATCCCTGCAACTATGAAAAATACCGTAAAATATCGGTTTATAAGTGCTTCTGTAGACACATTTTGAAAATAAACAATCCAACTTAATATCAAAATTGAAAATAAAAAGAAAACCACTGAGAATATATCGAAATTCTCGCGTATACAAAGCCAATTATTCAGCGAGTACTTTTCAATCTATTACATAAATAAACAAGATGTGTTTGTGAAACACTGATGCCCCCGTATGGCAACTTAAAGAGAGAAGGTTAAACTTTCTCAGATGCAAATCAAATACATGTATGTTGGTACCCAAAGTAAGGTCTTGTCTCGAGGAATATACCTGTGAAATATGAAAGCCCTGGCAGCAACCATTGAATATATATGGAAAAGGTTAAAGTTTTTCAAAAGTAGGACAAACATCAAGGTCAAAATTAATGGTGCCCAAGGAAAGGCCTTCTCACAAGAAATACACAAGTGAAATATGAAAGCCCTAGTACCAACCGTTCAAAGGTTATGGCCAAGATTAAAGTTTCTCAAAAGTAGGTCAAACTCCGAGGTCAAGGTCAATGTGCTATAAATGTTGGTATATCCTAAGGAAGGTCTTGTCGCAAGAAATACACATGTGAAGTATGAAAGCCCTTGGACGAACTGTTCAAAAATTATGGCCAAGATTAAAGTTTTCCAAAAGCAGGTCAAACTCCTAGGTCAAGGTCAAAGTTGTTGGTATCCAAAGAAAGGTCTTGTCACAAGGATTACACATGTGAAGTATTAAAGCCCTAGCACCATTTGTTCAAAAGTTATGGCCAAGGTTAAAGTTGGTTTAAGTTTTGCAAAACTAGGTCAAACTCCAAGGTCAAGGTCAAATATGATGGTATCCAAAGAAACGTCTTGTCACAAGGAATACATGTGAATATGAAAGTCATAGCTCCAACCAAACAAAAGTTATGGGAAATGCATGTTTAAGATTTTACGGACAAACAGTTAAACAGACAGCAGACAGACAGAAAGACGGACGGACAGGGCAAAAATTATAAACCCCCGAATCTTCGATTACGGGGCATAAAAACATATTCTGAAATTTTCAATTCGATTGTTGAGGTATTTACGATGAAAACTGAACACACTCGGGTTTTTTGATTAAATCTGCCCCGGTCTGGGTTTTCCTTTACCAATTTTAACAACACTCTCAGGTGAGCCAAAACTGCAAACACGAATAGTATTTTTCAACAAAAAAGTTATACTTGTGACAATATACCATTGTGCTCGGTGAATTCGCATTACAAAATGTATTTGAAGTATAAGCGAAAAATAATCGGGATCGGGATCCCATATACAAGTACGTTGGATTTTTCTTCTTTTCTTTCTTTCTTAAAATTCTTTATTTTTAAACAGCAAAATATTTGGTAAAAATTGCAATGTTTTTATATAACTAGTGTCAAACATATGCAAGTTTATGACATGATCTGATAAAAAATATAAACAGCATCATGAGCATGCTTTAGCGTGCTTTGAGAGAGAAATTTCGGGCACGGTGAAACGTGGATGAATGGCTTTAAATATTGTTTAAAATGGTATTTTAATGATTTTAGCTTAAATGCAGGGGAAAACTTTCTCAAAATGATAAGGTAATTTACATTTTGGGCTTTATTTCCTATTTTCTCTTGAACTTGTTTCAGATCTGTCTTTTATTGCTATGGGAAGGCTGAGTGTCCAGCAGTTTGTTACATTCACCAGTGTATACATTGCTTACACACTGTATGTTTACGTCAGACGATCCTTCACTTACACCATTCCAGTACTAGCCACAGAGGGAAATTTTGATGAAAAACAGCTAGGTATGCTTACTGATTATTAAACATGTTTAAAGAAATATATAACCTTATGCAGCAGGGAAGAAAAAATGTGATAGAGCAGATCAGAACTTGGGCCCATTGAACCTTAGACAGGTGCTCTATTAACCAATAAGGCTATCTGGCCACCATGGGTTAAACCTTGCTGATTGCCACATCCCCCCTCCTTGAATAACTTAATGTCTTTGCCCTTAAAGATACCAACCCTTCTTCTTCTTCCATTAATGTGCCTGGCACAAACGTTGGGCATTATCGCACATGTATAAAAGGTTAAAATCATGCTAAGGAATCTGGATAAAATCGTCAATATTTCTAAAATGAGTAGGAGGATCACTCCTGGCGATCTGCCTTTAGGACATGCTGCTATATGTAAAAGAAAAAAAGGAAATGTGACAAACCAGACCAGACCAGGATTTGAACCTGGCACCTTATGAACTCTAGACAGGTGCTGTACCAAACTGATAGTGTAAGCACCAATGGATCTTGTAAGGTTTTATTAGTTTTAATAAAACAATTGTTACAGTAATTAGATATAGCAGGTAATGCATTTCTTTTTTTTTCTAATCAAGATATTTTTTTTCACTTTGCACTAACCCCCAGCCCTTGCCCCCCCCCCCCCCCCCCCAACACACACAAACAGAGGAAATTTTATCTGGATATATCCATGCAGGGAAACTCAAAAAAAAGAAAATCTTGCATAAATTTAAGTGAATTCCCATGATTATAGGATCTTTCTGGATCAAGATTTTAAAAGAACATGTATTGATAATGAATGTTGTATTTAAATATTTGTCTTTCATTAAATGCAGGTATTATAGTCAGCAGCCAGTCACTTGCCTACACAATCAGTAAGTTCTGTTGTGGAGTCCTTGGGGATATATTTAGCCCACAACTTCTACTGTCCTCAGGACTTGTGTGTTCTGGAATTACTGCCATCATATTCACAGGTGTGTCATTGAATAGAAAAAGATATGTGATTTATTCTGTCTTAATTACCATTGTGTATAATAAAATGAGATGTGATATTCTTAAATTTCAAATATCAGCATGCTAATACAGTTGAACTTCGGTATCTCGAATACCATGGATATGTCCAAGTGATTTGGATGTCCCATCCACATACCATATTCTTTTAGTATTTTACCCTTGATATATTGAATCCTTGGATATCTCAAAGTTTTTTCTTGGTTCCAAAGAGGTCGAGATAATGAGGTTTGACTGTAAGTTGTATTTTACTTGATGATTTAATGATGAAGAAAATAAAGCCATAAATTAAACTGCTATCTAGTGCGGGTACATTCTGTGATATGAAAGGAAATTTCATTTAGAAAACTTGTTGTCTGCCACTCTCAAGTTGGTAAAGTATGTAGTCTATAAAATTTAGAAATTGATGCACTGTTTTAATTTACATGTGAAGTAGAAATATTAAAAGATAATGATTTATTGAACAGAACACCCTAATTTCAGGCTGTGATTCTGTGTTCTTCCTCAGTCTCTGGTGGTTCCTGAATGGTTTGACACATGGACCAGGCTGGACATCCATTGCTAAAATACTGAAAGCAGTATGTCTGCATGATGATAAAAGTTTCATTTATATCATAAATCAAGGAGTTCAAAATATAAAGAAAGAAGAATTTTACAGAAGTTCATGTTTTTATGTTAGAAGTCTAGGAATAAGAAATAAACTAGTGATTAATATCAATTTACTGGGTAATAGAAAACAAAGAAAATAATTCCAGTTTATGCAAATTAATTATTGGAGATTGAAACAACACTGTTATTATATAATTAAACAAATACATGTATGCATGAAACCAATATATCACAAATGCAAATAAATAAGTTTTTAAATGGATAAGGGTTCAATTTTGAGAAAATGTTTTATTTTATTTTAGTTCATTCAGACTTGAAAATATTTTTTTTTTTGAAACTTGCATATACTTTGCATATCTAACTGTTTATTATGATTATCAGTGGGCGAGCCCTGACCAGTTTGGTACAGTGTGGAGTGTAGTGTCCACCTCTATGAACCTTGCTGGAACAGTAGGACCTGTAGTAACCACTCTTCTAGTCACAAAACTGGGGTGGAGATGGGGGATCCAAATTGCAGGTATGGGCCAGAACTTTCATGCGCTGTTTGTTCTTCATCAGATCTGAAAATTGAACTGAAATATTAAATTAGATTGAGGAGATTTATATGTTTCAAAATGGATTCATCATCAGAACTCATATACTGTGGAATCGTTAGATTTGTGGTGGCTCACTTTTCGTGGAATTCATGGGTAACCTCTCATCCACGAATTTACATCCTACACGAATTAATAAATTAGGGTTACAAAGTCATATTTCATTTTGTAGGCATAATAGAATACACAGAATTACCCCCCCCCCCCCCCCCCCCCATGAACCTGTAAAATTTACACAATCCACGCAAATTGGCCCCCATGAATTTTAATGATTCCACATTATGTTGGATTGTAAAATGATTCATATGTAAAATGGAATTTTTAATTGGGAAAAATGCAAATTTTGAGAGAAAAAAAACAAATAAATGTAACCTTCAATATCTTGAACATTGATAAGTAACACATAAAAGAATTCACACAATCCCAATGAGATTAAATACTTCCAAGCACATATCTTAAGCTTTGAGGTACAGGATGGTTGCAATATTGAATAAGAGACTCAAATTCAGGTCAAACTCAGATGTTCAATTTGGTTGTGCCAAGCAAAAAAGGCCTCCATAAAGTGTTTGTTAATAATTGATAATTGGCTTGTTTTAGGGGCAACATCAATTGTTGTTGGCTTTTTTTGTTTCATGGTTGTGAAGGACAAGCCTCCTTCTGATGTTAGCTACAAAAAGCAAGACAAAGACAATATTGAGAAGGGTAAGAATTAATTGATTCTTAGTAGTGGTTATGATAATACTTTATTATAGATCATCACTTGCAATTTGTTTATACTGATAAGAAAATTATTCATTTATGTATTGAACAGGGGTTTAATGCATAAACAAGCCTGTTCAGGGTTTTGGTCTTTTTTCAGACACATTGGGAGTATATATTGGGAGTATACATTCAAAATGAAATAACCTTGATTTATAATAATAAAAAAAATATATAATATCATGTTACATCAATTATACACGGTTCCCATTAGATAATATATCTATACAAATATATTTTAATAGAAATGAACATTTACTCTCCATTAAGGGAGACAACTATTGCAGCCATTACATAAATATTACATATTTTCTCCAGTATTTGATATAAAAGTTGTTCTAATTAAACTAAAAGTCCCTCACAACTTGGCAGGAAAAGGCTACCATGAGGAATATGTTTGGATGCACTTTCTTCCATTTGTTTACAGCAAATCAATGACATGTAAAGGACTTTGACACAGTACATGTATAAAATTGAAATACATATTTTATTAAAAATAAAATTTTTTTTCACTTAGAATAAAGAAATCAATATCTGAATCATAAAAATCATAAAATATTGTGTGATTTGCAATTGAGCATACATGTACCAATTTACACTGTCAGTGTTGAATATTATTGTTCGCTGTAATTAAAAATTTAATTGATAAAAATATCTTTCTCCTATAGTTCTCTTATAGTTATTCAAACTGTTATTAAAAGGTGTGTTTTATGTTTGAAAATTTATAGACTGGACCTATTAATCGACTATTAACAATAAGGAATCATTTATATAAAATTAGTACTTACCACAAAGTAAAAATAGTCTCAAAAATTTAATGTTGCAAGTCAATAAAATGAAGGTCTGACTTCTATCTCAAGAAGACAAAGAATGTTCATTTTTTTGCAGTAAAATAAATGACCATAAGTTTAAATATTAACAAACTAACCAATAGCTTTCAAGAAAACTTCAAACCTTTGACCTGCCCTTATAGGTAGTTAATTATAGTGTACAGGTATGGCTAGAGATGTAAATGCATGGTTAGATCCAAATTATTATAAATTTAATAAATACATCCATTATATATCAGTAGAAATATTTAAATTCTTGATTTATTTATCTAAAAAATATTTTCCAATCATCATTTACATTATAACATATCTATTATTATATACTCATAAATATTTATACATTCTCGGAAGAAAGGTCTTTGGAAAGCATTTATTCCATTGGTAAGGGATGTTTGAAAGTATTTCTACTTCTTAATGAAGAAAATTGAGGAAGATATTCAATTTCATCTGCTTTATGCATAAACTTATGCAACCATATTATACCTTTTGTAGAAGAGAAATTGTTGATTATAAATATTCATAATTCAATATATGTACTGTCAACAGAGAATGAGCCCAATTACAGTAATATATTTCTATTTTAAAATACTAATTGCTGTTATAACATATTTCAGAAGTCAAGAGGTCGGAATCTTATATTTCCCGTAAGGACTTATTGTTTTTGCCTGGTTTCCTTGGAGTATGCATGTGTTACCTAGCAACAGCTATTGTCCAGCATAGTGTCTTACAATGGTCCCAGCTATTTATGGTGCAGGAGAAACACCAAACTGTTTTCACAGGTACTAGTACACAAAAACCTGCATCAGTAATAAACAGTGAAAATTTTTCTTCTCAGTCACACATTAAAATTGAATATATCCCCTTGAAAGAATAATAAAAAAAAAATCACTTTTGAAGTTTTTGCTAGTGTTAATGAAAAGCAAGGGCAGTTTTGTGATCATGCTTGTCCATTGATTAAAAAAAAAGGCTGACCAAAAAAGAATATACATTTACCTTGTTAACAGAAGGGGACAGATGCACCAGAGTAAAGAACTCCTAGGTTTTTACTTCTAAATCTGGAACTGTTCCTGATTATGCATTGCTTCTTTTATCATCATTTACGAAGGAAATGTAGGGTAGTTATTACTAAAGGATTTAATTAATTTTATTATCTTTTATTTATCAGAAAATGTAAGTTAATGCTAATAGCACTAGCTGTCCTAATGATTCTATATGTTTATTCCATTCAAGATACAGCTTTCTAACACTGCTAAACACAGACTGTGTGTATTGTAGTTATTGTAGTTTTGCTCATTTACATACGAAAGGCCTACCAAAAGTGTTCTATATCATATTTATTGTATGGTAGATTTCAAAGGAAAATATACTGTGTCGTGTCACAATTAGCTATATTGGTACATGTAAACATTATATATTCCCATGAAGTGATGATTCAAGTTTGTTCAAAAATGATCCCATGGGCAACATGACATTATCAAGACAAAATATCCTTAAAAATATCCTTCTTAAGAATAACATGGTTACAAATACATTTGTATCATATAAACATCACCTTGCAGTGAAGATTAAAGTGATTTAAATCATTACCCTAGGCCTGGGGCTGGAGTGGGGCAATTATAGGCCTAGAGGGTCAAAGTTTTACATAGTAATACAGTGAAGAAATAAAGATTGTCGTCTGTGAGCTTATAATATTTCTTTCATTGGAAAAGTAGCTTTAGAGAGTCATTCTCAAAATCTCTGTATATACTGCAAATCAATTACCTTAAAATGAAAATTATATTCTTGTGCATAGTTTTGCAAAACTTGCCTTGACTCAAAATATAAATTTTAGTAAATTACTCATAACTGGTCATGTGAAGTATTCACTAAAATTAATTCCTGTGAATAAATGTAGAGATATTGTTCTCACAAAAAAGTAAGGGATTTACAGTGAATGTATTATAATACAGAAGGAAGCTATGCCAGTGGAGGACTCTGGTAGCTTAGAGTCTGTTGAGTAAACTATCAATAAAATCTCAAAGAAACTAAATCATCATAGTGAGTGAACAAAAAACAGCAATAATTGGTTTTTTTTTATACAATTGAATAATTAAATAATACAAACTTTTTTTTAGCAAACCTTGCTATTTTTCTTGATTGTTTACATTTGTTGAAGTCCTAACTGAATGTAGAATGGAGAAGTGGAATTAAAATATTGGGAAATTCTTGACTTGTTACTGATCTGATGTAGTAAAAAGAACTGTTATGTTCACCTAGAAGAAAATCAATTTGGAAAATCTCAATCTGTTTTTGGTTCAATGTAGAAAAAGAAATACATGTTATGTTCACTTGGAAAGTCTTGTGCAGATGATTATAACTTAATATGATTTCTATAATGTTGGATCTCACCACTCAATGAGCTAGGAATTATTCATACATATGATAACAACAAATACGCTGAACTTCGGTATCACAAACACTGATATCTCGAATACCATGGATATATGTCAAAGTGATTTGGAAGTCCACAGTTATTCTTTAACTATTTAACTCCTGATATCTCAAATACTGGTACATCTCGAAGTTTTTTCTTGGTCTTATTGAGCTTGAGAAAACGAGGCTTGACTGTATTAAAATAATAATGTTGTTGTTTTACTTGTAGGTAGTGGTTTTCTGAGTAGTGTAGATATTGGAGGATTTGTTGGATCATTCACAGCAGGTTACCTGTCTGATTACCTGGTATCTAAGGTACATGTAAACACTGGATATCATAAACATATACAGTAGCATTCAAACTGACAAGTTCATTATACATGTAAAATATTATCATGTAAGCACCAGGAGGAAAATATTAGTTATCCAGGTACGATCAAAGGTGTACAGGGATTTACCCTGGGTTTTATTCCATACACCCTAAGGCCTAAGGGTGTATGGACCACAACCCAGGGTAAATCCTGTACACCCTTGATTGGACCTGGATAATGAATTTATTTCCTATGTACCTAAATAAAGTCTTTGTTAACAAGTCCAATCAACTGTGTTTCAAGCTGTCGATAAGATTTACTATGTCGTACAATGCATCGTGACATCATGTTATTTGCTTTTTATCATAGAGAAACTATGCATTGTGATATCACATTTTTTACCCCTGGCTCAAGTCGGGTGTACGGAAATTTACACCCAACTTTGTAACCAGTCAAAGCTCATGTTACAAGATACAAAGGAAATAATAGTTTTTGTTCATTCTAATGTTATAGTCAGTTTATTCCCAACAGTATCAAGATAGAATAAGCTTTCATCTTTATTTATTTACTATTACCTTTTTTCCAGAACTCCACTATACCCAGGCCTATTATAAGGAAAACTTTAGTGTTGTATTTTGAAATTCTTCTAGGATGTGTTCTGTATTTCTTCATAGTCCAAATATGTGAATCTTCTTCTAAAGTGAGTAGATACTGCATCATGAATTAAATACAGTTCGTTTTATTTTATTGCAAGTAATATTTATAAAAGTACTTTTTCTGAAAATCTTTGTAGGTTATTGTGACAATAGTAGGATTTCTAATAGGATTGAGTATTTATGGACCAATATCTTTGTTTGGAGTCATTGCTATGGAAACTGCTCCTGATGGAATTGCTGGGACTGCACATGCAATTGCATGTATATTTTCTAATAGTAAGTATTTTACCAATTGTATGTGAAAGGACAGGGGTAATTTTTTTTTATATTTATTTATTAAATGACATGAATATTCATTACTTTAATGTGTATAGGACAGTAAATTTAATGCAGAACCCCATATACTGCAAGTGCAGAAATATAAACTTTAGATGATAAAGGACTCTGGTGAATATCAAACAAACAATAAAGAGGTCATTGAATCTTTCTTGAAGCTTTCTTTTTGAGAAAACCAGAAGTGGAGAGTTTGAAAGCTGTTCAAAACTGAACTTAATGATAAATGAGACATTCAGTATAATAAAACAAAAAGTGCTTTTTTTAAGGATGATAACTGAAATTGACCCCTTGGAAAATCAATGCCAACCTCTGCTGGCACTTTGGTTGACAATGGTTTTCTCTCAGGCTGTCAATTTCAACTCTTACAAAATTATATACTAGCAGTTCATCAAAGTTTCTACATGGTACATGACCTTCAACAGATCAATATGATCATGATACAGTAGTGAAAATGCTGTATTGTAGGACAGCACTGTGTTATAGGACAGTGCTGTATTATAGGACAGTTCTGTATTGTAGGACATTGCTGTATTATAGGACAGTTCTGTGTTGTAGAACAGTGCTTTATTGTAGAACAGTGCTGTTTATAGGACAGTGCTGTATTATAGGACAGTTCTGTGTTGTAGGACAGTGCTTTATTGTAGAACAGTGCTGTTTATAGGACAGTGCTGTATTATAGGACAGTTTTGTATTGTAGGACAGTGCTGTATTGTAGGACAGTTTTGTATTGTAGGACAGTGCTGTATCAATGGATCAATATGATCATGATACAGTAGTAAAAATGTATTCTAGGACAGCACTGTATTATAGGACAGTGCTGTATTCAGGACAGTGCTGTATTATAGGTCAGTTCTGTATTATAGGACAGTTCTGTATTGTAGAACAGTGCTGCATAGTAGGACAGTGCTGTATTATAGGACAGCTTTTTATTGTAGGACAGTGCTGTATCAATGGATCAATATGATCATGATACAGTAGTAAAAATGTTGTATTATAGGACAGTGCTGTATTTACAGGGTTCTACATTAACGTTAGTCCGTTAGTCTCAGACTAATACATTTTCATTTGGACTAATAAAATCTGTGGCTTATTAGTCCGTACGGACTAATAAAATTTTCTGGAAAAAAATCAAAAATATACCGATGTTCAATTCTCGACAACTTTCACTGGAAAACCCCGCATGTATTTTTAGCTTTCTAGCTTCTTGGCGGGAAGTTAGGTAATTCCGAGTCAATTCGACGCTTAATTTTAGGACTGATTGGTATGAAATTAAACATTTTAGAGATCATGATTTAGTATGACACATTAAGAAAGATGTCGGACGTTTGGATGATGTAATCATGTATAGAGAAAAACGAACGAGATCGGGAATATGATCGTAGTTCGATCGCAAGATTTCATCGAATCTTGGAATAAAACATTTCATGTAAATGCTTTGTTTATTTTAAAAAAGTATAAAAAGTACATTGCAATGTTTATTCTATTTATTTATTTTTTTATTTGACGGACTCATAAAATCATGCACGGACTGGTAAAAGTAAAGAAGCACTAGTCCAGCTGGACTAAAGCCTAAAAATGTTAGTGTCGAACCCTGATTTAGGACAGTGCTGTATTATAGGACAGTTCTGTATTGTAGGACATTGCTGTATTAAAGTACATTACTGTATTGTAGGACAGTGCTGTATTGTAGAACATTGCTATACATGTATTATAGGAGAATGCAGTATTGAAGGACAGTGCTGTATTGTAGAACAGTGCTGTATTAAAGGCCAGTGCTGTGTTGTAGGACAGTGCTGTATAATAGGTCAGTGCTGTATTGTAGGTCAGTGCTGTATTGTAGAACAGTGCTGTATTATAGGTCAGTGCTGTATTGCAGGACATTGCTATACATGTATTATGGGAAAGTGCTGTATTGTAGGTCAGTGCTGTATTGTAGGAAATTATGGGACAGTGCTGTATGATAGGACAGTGCTGTATTGTAGGACAGTGCTGTATTAAAGAACAGTGCTGTGTTGTAGGACAGTGCTGTATTGTAGGTCAGTGCTGTATCATAGGAAATTATGGGACAGTGCTGTATTGTAGGACAGTGCTGTATTAAAGAACAGTGCTGTGTTGTAGGACAGTGCTGTACTGTAGGACAGTGCTGTATTATAAAAACTTGATACGATGTATGTTGATGTTTGTACATGAGATGTTTTGTAATACATTCTGTTTTATTGTCTATTTTCAGTTGGTCTCATGTTAGCTGGGTTTCCATTGAGTTATGTAGCCAGTCTTGTAGATTGGCAAACAGCTTTTCTCCTTGTGGGTTCCCTAGTCATCACCATGGTTACCTATCTTCTCTTAAAACTCCAGACAGAGTTATCAGCCTTTAAATCTGCCTCAGGAAAAACGCTCAATATATACAATGTCTTGGTTAGTTGATGATATTTAAGGGCCTATACAATACGTAATTTTTTTAATGATTACAATATCCATGATGTCATATGAAATAATTTTTTGTTTGAAGGTCCTGTATATGCATCTCTGAGAAAACAACATACATTACTTGTAAATTACATGTATTATAAATTAATCTCCATATACATCTATATAAAAAAAACTTTCTCATCTGCTCAATTTTCATAATGGTGGTGCTTTGGTTGGGATAGGAAAACTTAAACATTTCACTATGTTAAGGAGTAACAATTAATTGTGTAATACTTCAAAACTGTTATTATTCTTTTAATTAGAATTATTTCAAGGGTTGTGTTACTATGGACAATTTCATATTATATATTTACATGTATCTAATACGTGTGGTGGAAACTACCCATTAGATAAACCTATGCTTTATCAATGGGTTACTTTATCAATAGCACTTTCGGTTTCGACACAGTCCCTCACTTCAAGATTTAGATTTAATGAAACTTCTATTTGTGAAAGCAAAAATGTTCGTTAAAAACAAGAAAAGACTCGTTTTACCTCAATGAAATGTCTTCTTTTTTTTAAACTGGCTACAGTGATAATGGATGTTAACCCCCCCCCCCCCCCCCCCCCCTTGTTCTCATAGAAAACGTTAGGCCTAGCAGTGAAATTGGAGGTGCAAAATTCATTTGACCATGCAGGAAGCTCCTCTAGCCTCTTTCAACAATGCTTTCTTACATTATACTATATAACTTACCATGGATCTACAAGTAGCCCAGCACTGTCGCCATACACAGAATGATTTTCAGAGCAGAATTCATGATGTCTTGGTCCTTACAAAACTGTACTACTTCTAGTCAAAAGTTTGTATAAAACGAATCTCCAACAGATTGTCACATATATTTTAAAGGAAGCAGCAACTATCATTCCAAGATTTCATATTTTGTATCTACAAATAACTTTCTTTTGGCATGTCAACGTCAACAGTGTGATGTCATCAATTTACGCATCATTGATTTGGGTAGAAATCAATCAACATAGTTTCACAGGGGTTATCTCAAAGCTTTGTTAAAAATGAAAATCGTATGAGATAAATAGAACATCTATAATTGTGTGATTTGATATTTGTTTTATCCAGCTTGTTGAAATTCTTGCAAATATACACCATTTCAACTCGTTGGATAAAGCAAATATGAAATCACACAATATAGATATCCTCTCTCTCTCTCTCTTTATATATATATACTGTATTTGCTGGTGGAGTTGGAAGAATGGACATTTAGGGTCCCATACTCCAAAACCTCCTATGTGTTCACAGTTATGTTTATTTTGTGTATACTATTGGCTATGACTCTCAGTTATTCAGTAAAGATGTATAAAAATAATACAGCAGGTTTGGTGTTTGTACAGCCAGTACTTGTCTTCACATTTGAAATGAAGTAGAAATGAAAAATAAGAATAACAACCCAAATGGTCTAAGTAATTACAAAGGGACAAAATACAGATGTACATAAGGGAGACTCCAGTATGGAGAAGAATTTAGTTAGCAAGGCCAGCTGTCTCTACCGGTCTGTCCATTGTATGGCTTTGTATTTGAGCAAGTAGAAAAGGAACTGTCAAATACATGTAACTTATTGCCAAAATATAAACAAAAATATAAAGTCCAAATACCATGTGGGTAATTTATGTCAGGAGCAAAATTCAACGATAACAAAAAATAAAAGGAAAAACCTGATCTACTACATTCCTCCCCAAGAAAGACAAATGCTATACATTTGATTAACTTCAAAATAAGACACTCCTTCACTTCAAATAGACTATTTGGGTAGGATTTATATAGGATTTACAGGCTTTTTGTGCATCATATTGCATTTGTATTGTTATACTGGTAATAAAAATATAAAGTCTTGTGAATCTTATTTTCATTTCTACTTCATTTCAAATTCCAAATATATTTAAGGTAAAAGTCATCCACAAACGAAAATAAAACCAATGCAAAGTATACTTGCTTTATGAACACCAGACCTGCTACATCATTTGTATGTATTAAAACATATTTCCCATACAATTTACGTCAAACTGTGAGAGTTTCTTTTATAAAATATATTTTTGTTATAAATAAATATATACAGAAAATGGATATTATTTTGGTGTTGTATGTAAATTATACTTTGGTGTTGCCATGGTTATTGATAATAATCTGTGAATTAATTTGAAATACCACTCCTTTTATTAAATGATCAGGAATGTTTATGCTCTCTGATTGGTCCAGACTTTCTTTCTTGAGGTGTACCCCAGAGTGAGTTTACCCCTAAATGAAGTATCGGGAGGTTTATTCGGATTTTCCCTCTTGACCAACAACCATAGATTTGCTTAGATTTTTTCAAACCAATCAAATTGTGTTTTAAAGCATGAAAGCATGTGTCATTGTGAATGTAAACATGGCAGATGCCAGTACAGAAGAAACTAAACTCCTTCATTAGTAAATGGTTGAGTATTTATGGTTTTATAATATTGTTTTCCACTTTTTAAACAGTTAATAAACTGTTTAAATATAATTTATATTTTGTTACATAACGCATTATAATTATTTGTGTTTATGTTTGTTGGAGACAAGAACTATCGTGTATAGTATAAAACATGTTAACGTTCTGATTATTTGATAAAATGATATTTGGTCTACTAGTGACAATACGGACCTGATCAGATATTGGTTAACCTCAGCCTTCGGCCTTGGTCAACCAATACCTGAAAAGGTCCATATAGTCATAAGTAGACCTTAAGTCTATAACTGTATACAGTTTGAGCCTGATCTACATTAAGTTTTGCTCTCATGTTCACCCCATCAAAATAAATTGTCATAGCTTATAAAAAAAACTATAAATTTGTCCACAGTACATGAATGTCCCGCAAAAAGATGCATTGGTAATGTAACATGAAAAGAAATGTGCCTTGCTTCTTTGGTCTGAGCTAATTGTAAAATATGATGAAAGAAGGATAATTTTCAAATTCTTTTATTCACAGAACTGCTATCTTTAGCACAGTTGTTGCCTTTTGTATTATGGTATGCAGTGTTGATTCATCCCATCTAACAAACAGCTAAATGAATCTCATAGTTTCTAGTTATTTCTCTTATACACATTAAATTTAGATATGATCTTTTAAACTGATATATTTAAAATGCTCTTAAAGAGATTTATCTGTGTTTGGGTTGTATGAAGTAATATACAAATATAGCCTTTTGATGAGATCAATCCCAAGATATATAGGTCTTAGAGAAAGCATATTTGACCAAGCATGAAGTGCGAGGTCAATATGCTTTCTCTAAGGTCAATGTCTAGGAATTGTACTGACTTCAAAAGGCTATGTTTCTTTTTTAATATTTTTTATTAGTTAATGAAACAATTCTTAAAAATCAGTGTTTCTAATACAGAATATTTCAAATAGTGTTATGTCACACTTATGATTGTCAGAATTACAATAGGAGCTCAAGTATCTGTAGTTTACTGAGCGTATTGAATATTATGACAACATCAATGTTGTTGCTTTCCAATTTTAGAAACATGAGGTTTGTAAGTCTTTTTTAAGAAGCTTAAAATAGAACCACCTGTATGATGTTGATCATGTGATCTAGTCTAAGGCAAATAGATACCCGGTAGTTAGAATGATAGAGAAAATAATAATCCATTATAGAATTAAATAAGACAGACTAAAAGAAGATGGGCAAACAAGCCGAGAAAAATGCTGTTAGGCTCCAGGATTGACCTTAGTTGACTTTCTCTTAAAAATTCATTATACAGGGTATCTTTGAGAATGTTATTTCATTCCTGGACACAAGCAAATTTTATGCACGATGGTTGTAAGCTATTTGTCTTTTTACAAATTATGAAAAGTATGACCTCAGAGCCTAAGCCCAAAGGTAAAGCTAAGTTGATCATACACACGTCCTTAAAATTCACTTTATCTTTTTAAAAAAAATCTGCTCCTATCCTCTAAGAACAAGCTTAGCATATATGACAGTGAACATAGAGTCCTCGCCAAAAACGCATGTACTGAGTCAGAGTTCAATTTCAGTTGTGCCTGAGTTGTCATTTAAAGAGAAACTCCTAATATATAATCAGATGACTATAAAGGCCAGTGGGCCTCTTGTTTAAATCTTTAATTATGCCATTGTTACAAAAATGTAATAATTTGTTAAAAACTATGAAACAATGACTTTTAGATGTTTCTAAACAATATAACAGAATGTATATTAAATTCTCCAAACGTTTATTTATATCAACATTTAATTGACAATTTCTGCTTGCAATCATATTTGACAAAACCTGTTGACAAACAAGAGGCCCATGGGTCACAATGCTCACCTGAGTAACTTTTGTCCTGCTGTTCTTCACCAGATTTTCCCCTTTGTAATACTTATTGTGGCCCCACCCTACCCTGGGGGTGGGGTGGGGTGGGGGGTCATGATTTGAACAATTTAGAATCTACATTACCTCAGGAAGATTCCATATAAATTTCAGCTTTTGTGGCTTAGTGGTTATTGGGAAGAAGTTTTTTTAAAAAGATTTTTCTTATATATTTCAATGTAAAACTTATATTTCCTATTGTGGCCCACCCATGGGGGGGGGGGGGGGGGTGTGATTTAAACAATTTAGAATCTATACTACCTCAAGGGGCTTCCACATGAGTTTCAACCTTTCTGGCCCAGTGGTTCTTGAGAAGAAAATTTTTAAAGATATTTTCTATATATATTTCAATGTAAAACTTTGATACCCTATTGTGGCCCCACCCTACCCCCGGGGGTCATAATTTGAATAATTTATAAACTACACTACCTCAGAAAGCTTCCACCTAAATTTCAGTTTTTCTGGCACAGTGGTTCTTGAGAAGAGGGTTTTTTAAGATTTACCCTGTATATTTCAATGTAAAACTTTGATTCCCTATTGTGGCCCACCCTACCTTGTGGGGGGGGGGGGGGGGCATGATTTAAACAATTTAGAATCTACACTACCTCAGGAGGCTTCCACATAAGTTTCAGCTTTTCTGACCCAGTAGTTCTTGAAAAGATTTTTAAAGATTTTCCCTGTATATTTCAGTGTAAAACTTTGATTCCCTATTGCGGCCCCGCCCTAGCCCCGGATCCATGCATTATTATGATTTGAATAATTTAGAATCTACACTACCTCAGGAAGCTTCAACATAAGTTTCAGCTTTTCTAGCCAAGTGGTTCTTGGAATGATTTTTTATGACCCCGCCCTATTTCTGTCTTTTCTTGATTATCTCCCCTTGGAAGAGGGCTTGGTCCTTCATTTTAACAATTTAAACTCCCTTCACCCACAGATGCTTTGTACCAACTTTGGTTAAAATTGGCCTAGTGGTTCTTGAGAAGAAGTTGAAAATGTGAAAAGTTTACAGACGGACAGACGACGGACAATGGGTTCTAACTGTATCAAAAAAAACTCACTTGAGCTTTCAGCTCAGGTGGGCCAAAAATTTAGACAACTATTGAAAACAGGTCGACACAGCAACATAACTAAGATTAATAGATTATGTATATGTTGTAATCTCCATGATATAGAAGACGAATTTCAGTTTTGTCCTTTGTATAACGACCTAAGAGAGAATCTTTTGAAAAAGTACTATTATACTAAGCCTAGCGTCTTTAAATTTGTTCAATTGCTAAGTACTAATAATGTTAAAGACCTTTTAAATTTGGGCAAATTTTGGAATGCTGCCACGTTGTTCAGAGAAAAAACAACATTGATTTATAACTCTATTTCCATGTATGTATTTTTACGTTCACTATCACTATCAACTCTGTATGATTTTTTTCTTAATAACATGCACTTATTACTCTAATGAGCCAGGTGGCATAATTAAGGAAAAATAAAGAAACTTGGTTCACTTTCCTGAAGGTAATAATGATAGACCTTGTGTTAATTTAAAATTTTTTAAATATATTTAATCATCTACATTGGCCAGATTAAAATATGAGGATATTTTAGGTTTCAAATTACGTAATAAGGCACATCGCTTATATACAAACATGTAGCTTTTTGATCGCGGTAATCCCCAATCCGTGTATGTGGGTGAGATGTGTACTTTTTACAGTGTATATCTTTACCTATGTTTGTCATGGGGACGGCATTTTGTCTGCAGTGTATCCTTATTTCTAAATAGATATACATCTCTGATGGATCGTCTGTCATAAATAAGGTGGAGTTTGTGTATTGGATGCAAAATAATATACACACATATTACAATGAGACTTCAAATAATAAGACATTTCACTTTGAGGGTGCAAATGTATGTACATGTATAAATCAAATCTCAATCTTTAAACAAGATAACGGGTATTAACTTCCAAAAATAACCGTCAAAAGGTGCTCGGGTAGAATTACGTTGCACATGAACGATAAGATAAATATTGTGTGGTCCTTCTTTTATCTACGAGAATTTTTTACAATTTATCTTTCCGATGCATCAAAAAGTATTTTACAATAGATTAGCCAGAACAAGAATTTTTTACACACTCGACAACAAAAGTGTTCGCTGACATTATCAAGTACTTGAAAATAAGCTGAAGTAATTGTTGTTACGAGAAACACTTTGGTGATAAACAATTACCATGTCCATATTAGGGATACAAATATATCTATCTCATCTCATGGAAGTTTATTCTAACCGGAAAGACAGTTACATGTATAGATACTGACAGGTAAAAGATCCAAAGTACTTGGATCAAAGTATTGTACAGGTGTAATTAATAAAATCCATATATATATATATATATATATATATATATATATATATATATATATATATATATATATATATATATATATATATATATATATATATATATATATATATATACATTTGTGGTATCTCTCTATTATATAAACATGCAGAGAGCAAATATCTTCATACCTGTATGAAGTTTTTCGAAGGTCATAGGTCATTACGTGACCTAATCACACAGCGCAATAATATCTAGACATAAAAAGACTTACTCCACTAAGCAATATAGCATGTTTTTCATGCATAAAAATGTACAAAATACGCAAGTAAAATAATAATCATTTTATTTACAATGTAAACGAGTATTTAATACCGTTCTTGATCGATTTTACATAGAGAATAGAAAA